AGAATGACTTGGAAAGTGTTCCATCTTCTTCAATTTTTTGGAATATGTTGAGAAGGATAGGTATTAAGTCTTCTTTGAATGTTTGGTAGAATTCCCCTGAGAAGCTGTCTGGTCCTGGACTTTTATTTTGGGGGAGATTTTGGATTACTGTTTCAAACTCTTTACTTGTGATTGGTCTATTCAGCTTCTCTATTTCTTCTTGATTCAGTTTTGGGAGGTTGCATGAGTCTAAGAATTTATCCATTTCTTCTAGATTGTCCAATTTGTTGGCATATAGTTTTTCATAGTATTCTTTTATAATCCTTTGTATTTCTGTGGTATCCATTGTAATTGCAATGAATGTTTTCTCTTTTTGCTTTGGTGAGGAAGATTGGCCTTGAGCTAACATCCGTTGTCAATCTTCCTCTTTTTTTTTTTTGCTGAGGAAGATTAGCCCTGAGCTAACATCTGTGCTTATCTTCCTCCATTTTGAATATGTGATGCCACCACAGCATGGCTTGATGACTGGTGCGTAGATACGTGCTCGGGATCCAAACCTGCGAACCCCAGGCTGCTGAAGCAGAGCATGCGAACTCAACCACTACACCACCAGGCCAGCCCCACAATGAGTGTTCTCTTAAAGTCAGTGACTTCTTGGGACTGCCAGGTTCTGATCCTAGCTATGTCTATGACCTTGGTCAAGTAATAAAAACAGTATTATTTGTTTGTTGAGTAGTGTTATAGGACAGAGTCTGTGCTTAAAGCTTTATATATACATTCATTTTAGCAAGGGGTCTTCAGTCATGATGCTAACCTTGAAGGCACTTATCACATGACCTAAGGCATAGTGAGCAGGTGGTTATGGAAGGTCACAGTGTTGAGGCCTTTGGGAGTCTCTATTTCCAGGAAAGCACAGGATGCAACCAGCAATTGCTGCTGTAATGGCGTATAACATGGGCCCAAGGAGGATAGTTCCTTGCATCAGAAGTCCATGGGCAACTTTTGGCCAATGTCGGAGGTCCAGAGAATCCAAGAGTCATGAGGGAAGTTTGCTAAAGTCTTTACAGTGAAAGAGAGTCTGGGGGCATTCACAGGAGTGCCAGTAGCATTCCAATTTGGACAGGATCTAGACTCTTTTGTTGTAAAGGAGTTTACAATCTGTAAAGGAGTTTATATGTTGCCTCCAGAACTCAAAAAGTCCTAAAATATGTTGAGCATGTTTTAATTAACATTGTGAGTGCTAGACGGTCAATAGTTGTTTCTTGACAATGTCAGGGATGGATTAGCCCTTCCCAAATAATGTTTAGGAACTTACCGAGATGGCAGGTTCTTGTACTATGTGTGGGGCAATGGCTCACTTCCCTTTTGTGACCTCCTTTGTGAAGATCTATAAGTCCTGAATGAGTGTGTTAAATGATCCAGCAATCCTATTTCTGGGTCTACATCCAAGATAATTGAAATCAGGATCTTGAAGGGATCATTGAAGCATTATTCACAGTAGCTAAGATATGGAAACAACCCAAATGTCCATCAATAGGTAAATAGAAAAAAGAAATGCAGCATATGCATACAATGAAATATTACTCAGCCTTACAAAAAGAGGAAAATCCTACCATTTGTGAAAGTGGATGGACCTAGAAGATATTGTACTAAGTGAAATAAGTCAGTCACAGAAGGACAAATACTGCATGATTCTACTTACAAGGTACCTAAAATAGTCAAAGGTATAGAAGTGGACAATAGAATGACGGTTCCATGGGTTAGGAGGAGGAGGACATGGGGAGTTATTGTTCAATGGGTATAAAGTTACAGCTATACAAGATGAGTAAGTTCCAAAGATCTTCTGTGCAACATAGGGCCTATAGTTACAATAAGATATTGTGTACTTGAAAATTTGTTAAGAGAGTAGATCTCATGTTAAGTGTTCTTACAACACATACACACACACACACACACAAAGAACAAAGGGACACAAGGAAACTTTTGGAGGTGATGGATATATTTATTACCTGGATTGTGGTGATGGTAACACGAGTGTATACGTATGTTCAAACTTACCAAATTGTATTCATTAATTATGTGCAGTTTTTAAAATTATTTTATTGAGGTCATATTCGTTTATAACATTGTGCAATTTCACGTACACATTGTTATATATCAGTTTCTGTATACACTGCATCTTGCTCACTCCCAAAAATCTAATTTTTATCCATCACGATACATATGTGCCCCTTTACCCCTTTCGCCCTCCCCGCAACCACCTTCCGCTCTGGTAACCACTAAACTATTCCCCTTAGCCATAGGTTGGTTTATCTTCCACATATGAGTGAAATCATATGGGGTTTGTCATTGCCTGGCTTATTTTGCTTAACATCATACCCTCAAGGTCCATCCATGTTGTTGCAAATGATGTGCAATTCTTTTATGCTAATAATATCTCAATAAGGCTGAAAAAAAAGGAGTCAACCATCAAAAATAGAGTCAGACCCCTTATTGGAGAGCAAAGTTAAAACTCCCTGCCCTTTCTTAACTCAAAGAAGGCTCTGGATGCTCCTCAGTGTTGGCTCTGACAGAAAATCTTCGGGTAAAAGTCACGCAAGCAGCCTTCCTGAGTTCTGTAAATACAGTGCCAACAGGCTCCTTCAAGGTTTAGAAACGTTAATAGGAAAAGTGCTTTACCATTGTTTGAGAAAAAGCAAACAGGTAGTTGCTGAGAGGTGGGATGGAGCTTCGGGGTCTGTGAGGTGGTGGACACAGGAGTGGGTCCTGCTCAGCCTCCAGGTTATGCCATGCTCTGGAAAGTGGCCGTGTGTGGACTGACAGGTGATTTCTTAGAGCTGTAGTAGTAGCTAGGGCTTAGCTGTCTTAGGGAATTGCCACTGAGTGTGTCCAAGGAGATCAGCTTTTCTTCCGCTGCTAGGGAGAGCTCTGGTAGCAGCTGCACGGGGGCCTCAGCTTCCACAGCCGTGCCCAGGATGCAGCCTTCAGGGACAGCCTTGTCATTCTTAGCTTCCACCTTCGACTTAAAGAAACTCTCCAGCAGCTTCAGATCACCTTTGCTGCCTCACCTCCCTATGCCTTGTCCTTCCAGAGAGACCCATATTCCTAACACATGTGACTCCATAATCAGTGCCGGGGCTTCCTGTAACACCGACCCCACAGCCAGAACCTCCTCTGCCTCAAGCCTGCTGCTCTCCCATGTCCACCACCTTGGGACAAGGGCTGGGGAGCGGTGGGGACAGGAAGAGCTTTCACTTGGAAGGCCTTGGCCAGACTGATGGGGGGTCCACCTCCTGGGTGTTACTCTTGGGAGAGGCAGCTGCCACCCTGGAGTCACTACTTTCTGCACTCACAGCTGCTACAGGACTTGGGCCCTCATCCGGCTTCTGCACACCAGAAAGTTTCCCTCAGCAGACAGAATCTCCCACCGCAGACAACACACTGAACTGGGACAGGGCTACCCGGACTCCTCTTCCTCAAGACATTAGTGATCCTAAGACACCTGGAATCTTGTGGATGCATAACGGAGGGAGTTGGAACTTGGAGAGGGTTAGTGTGGACTTCTGTCCCTTCCAGGTATTGATAGGTGAGCACTGTGTCCTGAGATCAGCTGAGTCACGTGTGTCACGACTAGTTTGGAGAGACCAGTCCCATGCAGCAAATCTTATCCATCTTCTCTCAGTCCACCTGCCATAGACCCACATCAGGGTGTCCACCCTTCCCTCCAGGGCATGCTCCACAGGGCAGCATGATGAAAACTCTAGTGAAACTGCCTCCTGGACTGGATGAGAGCAGAAAGGAATGGGATACAGGCAGGAGCAGATGGAAAGAGGAGCCTTGAGTTTGGGAGGAGGCTGACCTAGATGGCCCAATGTACAAACAGGCACTATGCTGATTCCACTGATGTAGGTCTTGAAGGTGACCCCTTTGGGCCACCTCGAGGGGAACTGAAGGAACTGGGATGCTTCCACCTGGAGAAGCCTTTCCTGATTCTACCAGCCAGAAGTGACCTCTCCCTCCTCTGAAGTTTTTTGTATCTTTTTTTCTACTAAAGCTTTCTGGTATTCAGCCTTGTAACAAGGTAGCTCATATTGGATCTCTCCCCACCAATGTGAATGTGACTCTCTAGGGCTTGGTCCCCATCTTACTCCTTCATGAGTCCCCAAGGGCCTTGTTCCTAGGAGGTAGTTGGCTGAGTGCATTAATTAATAAATAGGAAGAACCTATCTGGCAGGGTGTTGGCCTTGAAGCCACGGTATGAGCGATCCTCTGCCCCAGTGAGGGCGAGGAATGAATTTAACTTAAGCAAGAGGGAGACAGACCAGAGACAAGGAAGAACTTACTGATTGGGTAAGCTGGGTACACTGTCGGGCAGTGGCAAATCCAGGTAAATCCTGCACCTGCTTGAAAGCAGGGGATCATTTTTCCTTTCAAGGTGAGAGCAGATTGGCTTCTGCAGTACTTCCGGTGGTCCAGGTTTGGGCTGGCATAAAGAACAGAGTTAAGACAGAAGTCTTCTCAAGTTGTCTAAGGATGACCAGAGGCCCAAGGTTAGTGGCCATGGGGCAGCTCAGGGCTCAGGAGGAAATGAGGCAGTTCATCTGTCAAACTCCGCAGCACGGAGCAACTGAGCGAGCCTGGGATTGTTGAGGGCACTGCTCCCAAGAAGGAAAGAAACATGACTAGTACTTCCTGTGGACAGAGGCTGCGCTGAGTGCTTAGGACACTTTCTCTCATTTCACCCGTACAGCAGCGCTATGAGGTAAGCACTGTGAGCCCGTTTTGCAGGAGAGGAAACTATGGCTTAGCAAGTTCAGTGAATTAACCCAAGGTCAACATGACTATGTTTGAAATTTGAACAGAGGTCTATTTCAATTTTACTATACCGATTGTCTTCCTAGAATCATCCTGGTCTTCCTAGGATAGACTGGGTGAATTCAATTTAAAAAGGAAGAATTTCACAGTTGTTATCAATGAGAAGACATTCATGGTTTCTGTTTCCAATGCTCTAGGCATCTGCAGCACTGGGTTCAAGAGTTCTGGAGCACATGGTTCTGGAGCTCAGGATTCTGGAACTCACGTTCCTCTGAAGAGGATCCAAGGAGGTTCTGTGTTGTTTCATGTGATCAAGGAGCCAGGAGCCGAGCTAGAGGAGATCTCATGGGGCTTTGGCTCTGAATCAAACTACACTCTTATGCTGCAAGTCCATAGTGGGCCAGGAGAGGCTCCAACCTGGGCCAGCCTCCAGGACAAGTACAGGCAGAGAGTCCATGTGCCCAACATGACGTCCCTGAGGATTGAGAACTTGACTTGTGAGGACAGTGGGCAGTACCAGGATTGAGCTTAGCTTGAGGAATAGAATTTAACCAGGTTTTCCACCTCACTGTTGATGGTGACAGCTGTGGACAGATTTTTGGGACCCTCTCTCCCTGGTCTAATGGGCTAATCTAGCAAGCAGACTGCATAGGCTTTAAGTCAGTACAATAAGAATCCATGCTGTACTGGGAAGCAGCCATGCAGGCCATCTTCACTCTGTGTCCAAATGACCTGCAACTGTTACTGAGCAATGGAATCACTCTGCTCGCTACGATCTGAGCCAATTAATCACAATGAGTTAGGGATAGAGAAAGGAAGTTTTAATTTGATTAGTTGGCATAATCAGGAAGATGGCAGATTAATGTCTCAAAAATAAATCTTCACAAATGACAGGGTCTTGTGGGCGTTACACAGGGAAAATGGGCAGTGAGGAGGGGGTCCAGCGATGCTGGTCTCCAGGTGTGTTGGGCTCCAGACATCACATTGTTCCCTTCTTCTGTCAGCTGTGATGGATACATTGTAGGCGAGTTTCCTGCCTGCGGTCAGCCTATTTCTGGAGAGAAACTCATAGAACAAAGTTTTAATTTATCAAGGTATATGGGACTACATGCATAATTGGAGGCCATAAATCAGGAGAGCATGTGATTTTTTTAGTGTACGTGCAGAGCAGCGAGTAGTCACACAGAGGAGGGGCTGGGGCCACGTAGTGTAACAAGACGGTCTCACTTATGCTCACTTATACAACCCCTCATCTCATGACTGAAGATGCCAGGGGGAGAAACCAGCAACAGGAAAAGATAAAGGGTACCTATCTCTTACATCCGCAGCTGCCTTTCTTGGAGATTGAGGAAACAAATAACGACCCCGGTCTTTGCTTTCCTCCACACATAGATAACATCAGCATCTCTGAACTTGTTTGATATAACCAAAGAATTCTTGCTTACGTTACTCTTAATGCATAATCTAGAGAAAAACCAGTTGTACCCTAATCCCTTTTTTGACATATATGAAATCTACTTGTAAGTTTTTTCCTCTTCCTTGCACGTACAGTGTTTTGTGAAAGAAATATATGCTGCACTTAAACTCACACCCCTCGGAGCAGTTCCTCAGAATACTCTGTTGGACTGTTTCCTGGGATTCGAATTCCTCACCTTGATTATTAAATAGACTCATTTAATAAACCTTTACCTGGACTCTTTATTTCAGTTGACACAGCTACCTGTCACACTACCTATCCACTCCACACCCCTCCCCACGCTGGCCTCCCCAGCTCACACATGACTAGGTTCCAGGGACGAGGGCACCTCAGCTGGCTTCTACAGTCGCTGCTGCCCTTCCTTTCCTTCCTCATTGCACTGTGATGAGCTTAGGCCAACAGAGTCTTTTCTCTCTGTGTCTGTTTCTCTCTCTGTCTCTGTCTCAGTCTCTATCTCTGTCTCTGTCTCTCTGTGTTTCTTTCTCTCTCTCTGACTCTCTGTCTCTGTCTGTCTCTCTGACTCTCTCTCTCTCTCACACACACACATGCACACACGCACACACACACACATCACATTATGGCTTGCTGCAATATCCTATTTTGCTATTTTTCCTGCCAGAAGCTACATATTTCCTGTTCTTCCTCTTTGCATTTCTTCTATATCAAATCCTAATCTCTCAAGGCACATGTTTGGCTCCAGCTTACTAGGTAAAAGCCATGTATTCAATGCATTCAGAAAACCCAAGGAGAAAAAGTCTATCAATAATTTTCAAAATATTGCCTCATTAATGTTTCAAAATAAAGAAAAATGAAAAACTACTTAAAGCTTTCAAATTACATCAACCTTTAACAATTGTATTTAGACTAGTCTCCAAGTAAGAACCTCATTACCAAAGAAATGTTTGTTCACTGAAGAAATAACATGGTGACCATTTCTTAAGCACCCACTGTGAACATTATATAAAATATGTTATATTTACTCTTTATATATTTTTTTAAAAACTCCACAATTCAAGTTATTTTTATAGTCAAGAATAAGTTCAAAGTCAGGCAGCTCACATAGAGCCAAGAACCAGACTCAGATCTTTCCAACTCTAAAATCAAGTGTTTTCCACTGCAAACTAAAAGTACCAAACATTTTTAAAAGGGAGGAAAAATCACCCATTAACATTGTCAAAAGCTCAGAAATAACTGAAGTAAAACCAGTGAATCACCAAAGTAATAGTTAGTAAAAGTTTATTGTGCACACACCAAAAAGACAGTTCCTGAACCAGGAGCACTTAAACCAAAACATGGAAGGAGGCTCAGCAGTATGTTGTTATAAAGCAGCTTCTACAGTGAGAAAGTAGTGACTGTTGATTCTTCAGAGAGATTGCTCATAATAATAGAATTTTCTTAAATGATAGAGAATTGGTCAGTGGTTAGCTCATATCAACTTTGGGAGAGAGTTGCAATTTTGCGTGTGATTCCCAGAAGCATAAACAAGAAATGACCAAAGTCAAGTTAGTCTTACTAAATAAGCTAAATTAAGCAACTGATTGTGTCACTCAGGGAATTTTCAAGGCTGGTCTCCATTTGTTTTTGACATTAGCAACGTTATCTAACACAGAGTAGAACAGAAATTGCGGCAGTGGCGGAAATGTTCTATATCTGTGCTGTCCATTTTGGTAGCCAGTAGCCACACGTGCACTTTAAATATGATTAATATGAATGAGGAACTGAATTTTTTGTTTTATTTAATTTTAATGAATTTAAAAGTAAATAGCCACTGATTCATTCCACTCACATCACTGAATATAACTGATATCTATAGAACCCCGTTCCTCTCTAAGGCCAACCCTGGAGCTCAGGATCTTTCTATATGGCGGAAAGGATACAGAAGCCACAAGAATAGGAGAAGAAGAATGGCCAAACCCATACATTTGCCTTTGAACCCCCAAGTAAACTGCAGCAGCTAGAAAACATACCCTGCAATCCACCCAAACTAACAGCCCCTCCTTTGGGGTGGGACGGGGGTGGGAAATGGAGCACAGAGCTTCACCTCTCTGCAGTTAGGTAGTCAAGCTGTTGTCATAAATGGGACAAACTTCTACACATTTTTTGCTTTTAACTTTTTTTCTAGCTTTCTTTGCTGATAAGAAATTGTAAGTTTTCTGTGCTCATATCTATTGAATCCTTATCTTTATTATTTTTGGCTTTAGAGACATGTTTAAAAAGCTATCGCCCATTCCACTATTATAAAAATATTAACTTATTTTCTTCTACCACTTTTATTATTTTATTTTTCCATATGAATTTTTACCTTAATGGTTCTTAACCAGAACTGCGCTGACAATACCCATTCAAGTGCCTCATCCCCGGAAATTCTTACTCAGCACATTGAGATGGAGCCTGAGCCGTGTGTTTGGAAATCACTCCCTAAGGGATTCTCTGATCAATTATAGATAAGAGCTCTCATCCAGCTGAAATATATGTTGGCATAAGTTTTAACTTATAAGGTTATAATTTTATTTTTTTCCAAAACATTTAGTCCTTTACCCCACCACCATTTACTGAATGATTCATCCATGTACCAATACCTTCCTAACTTATATCTCCAGTCCAGACATCTTTTGAGCTCTAGGTCTAGAGATGCTTGAGCTCTAAATGTTTAAACCCAACTGGTGACTTGACAGCTCCCTTTGCATTTCTCAAGGGCAATTCAATATGTTCAAGATTGAGTAGCTAAGCTTGGTCTTCCTCCAGTATTCCCCACTCTGGTGAATGATGCCACCATCCAACTGACACTTTCTTCTCCCTCTACTCCATAGCCAATATATCAGTAAGTAATCTCAATTTTACTTTCAAAATATCTCTTAAGTCATCCACTTTCCTCCATCTCTACTGCCACCATCCTAGCTCAATCTATTGACTCTCACCATCTTCTCATTAGCAGCAGCAGTCAACTAAGTTGGGTTTCCCACACAGTCTTGGGCCCCCTCTGATGTATCTTCTATACTGAAGCCAGGATGATCTTTTTAAAAAGCATATATTATCATGTCATCACTTCTTAGTGATACCATGTTGCATCCTTAACATGTACTGCAATGCTGTGCAGAGTCTCTCCTGCTCTCCACCCCACGCTCATTTCTCTCTGTCCTCTGCCATGCTCCTAGATTTCCATCAAAATGCCTGTTTTTCAGTTTCTCAAACATATCATGTTTCCTCACACGGCAGGGCCTTTGCACATGTTGTTTCCTCTCCGTGGAAAACTCTTCCTGCTCCCCTTTTACTAATTAATTTTATTCACCCTTTTAAATTTCAGACCATCCATATCACAGAGATCCTTCCCTAATCTGCATCCTTAAGTAAAAGTCCCATACTAGAAACTCTCAAAGAGTTTCTAAATGCTCTATTTCTTCAGAGCATTTATCTGTTTGTAATTATATATTTATTAGAGTTATTTTAACTTAAATGAAATGAGATTCTCAAGCTCTTTGTCTAAATAAGAACCTCAGTGGAGTTATGGGTTTCTTTCTCATCACGTTTGTGGGAAAAGAAAGAAGTAACAATGATCATCTTCTAGGTTACAAGGAAAATTCACAAGTGCCTATTTCTTTCAGAAAACAGAGAAGTCAATTTAAATATTATTAGAGGGTTAAAAAATTTAAGTAAGAAATCTAGCCAGAAGTACAGATTATTTTGTAGAGATTAAAGGTTATTTTCACAGGTCATAGCAACAACTACTGAAGCCCAGGTGTCTTATAAATCATTGTCTTGAAACCCTGGTTTCTTCTGTCTTGTTGCTATGGTCCAAAATGGTAACTTGAGCTCTGCCCATCACGTCATAATTTAATCAGCAGGAAGGAAGAAGAGACAGGGAAGGACAGACCTCTTTCTTTAAAGACACTTTCCAGAAATAGCTCACTAACTTCCACTAACACTTCAACTAATATCACTTCCTTCTATTCCTGAAATTCTATGAGTTTTAGTCATAAATAGAAATTGAATTGATTGAATGCTTTGTCTAGATCTATTGAGATTGTGATTCTTCTCCTATAACTTGATAATGTGGGGTTGTTCACAAACACATTGTTCCAATGTTAAACCATCCTTTCATTCCAAGAATAAGTCCAATTTGGTATGGAGCTGGGTTTTCTTTTCTAAACATTGCTAGATTTGGTCTGCTAGTATTTTCTGTAGGAATTTTATATTTATGCCCATAGTAAGATTGAGCTGTAATTTTCCTTTCTTTCACTTTTCTGTACTATTGGATTTTGTATGAAGTTTAAACATAATTCATTAAAATGAATTGCAGCATGTTCCTGCTTTTTCTGTTCTCCACAATAGTTTGTACAATATATACTTTATCTGTTGCTTGAACATTTGGTAGAAGTGAGCCTGACTGACTCTTCCACCTCCTTCAACTCTTTGTGAAAATGTCACCTTCTCAATGAGGCCCACCCTGGCTACCCTATTTAAAGAGTAGCATGCCAGTCTGCACCCCACCCCAGAACTCCTGAACCTCCTTACCTTGCTCTACTTTTTATTTTTTCCATAGCAGCTTGAACTTTTTAACACACTGTGTAATTATGTCTTTTTTTGTGTTAATGTTTGTGTATCTCCCACTCTCCTCAACTAGACTATAGGCTCCAGGAGAGCAAGTTCTATCTGTTTTATACAAAGATGTATCCCAAGACCCTAGAAGAACACCTAACCTGGGTGCATTCATCAGGACAGTTAATACCACCTGTTGTAACGAACAGCCCTAGAATCTCATGATTTTATACAACAAAAACTTATTTCTCAATCACATCCCTGTCTCCTACAAATTAGCATGTCTCCCTAGCAGCTTACTTTCCATCATGTGGCTCTACCATACTGGAGTCCTTTTTTTTTTTTTTTTTTTTGTGAGGCAGATCAGCCCTGAGCTAACATCCTATGCCAATCCTCCTCTTTTTTGCTAAGAAGGACTGGCCCTGGGCTAACATCCATGCCCATCTTCCTCTACTTTATATGATACGCCACCACAGCATGGCTTCACAAGCAGTGCGTCGGTGCACGCCCGGCGTCCAAACCTGCGAACCCTCGGGCTGCAGAAGCGGAGCACATGCACTTAACAGCTACACCACCGGACCGGCCCCCATACTGGAGACCTTTGCTTTAAGCCACTGGGACAGGGAAGGGCACATAGTTCTTAACTGTCTCAGCCCAGAATTAAGAAATCACATTCCATTGATCAAAACTCGATCACATGATCCAGCCTAACTGCAGGGCAGTCTAGGAAAAGACAAAGGAAATAATTTGATGAACATTACCTGTATCCTTTAGAGATTCAACTAATATCTGTTGAATGAATTAAATTAATTTACTTCTACAACTGTCAGCATCTTAGGTTTTGTTCTCCCTGGTGTAGACTTGTAACTTTTGTTGCAATTTTTTTTTTAACAATAGTACTTTGTTGTTTTATATTTCTTCTTGAGACTGTTTTAGTAGCTTATATTTTTCTAGGAAATTACCCATTTAACCTACATGTTCAGTATAATATTGTCACTTTTTTCTTCATCTCTGCTGCCTCTATAGCTGTGTTCTCTTTTATATACAAATTATATTGGTTGTGGGCCTTCTCTTTCTTTTTTTATGGTCATTCTTACCAGAGTATTGTCTACTATTTTTGTCTTTTCAATATATCAGCATTTGGCTTTTTTTTAAATTGAAATATAATTGACATATAGCATTGTGTAAGTTTAAGATATAAAACATGTTGATTTGATATATTTATATATTGCAATAAGATTACCACCATAGTGTTAGCCAGTATCTCTACCAAATCACTTAAGTATCATTTCTTTTTTGTTGTGGGAAAAAATAAGGTCTAGTCTCTTAGCAACTGTGAAGTTAATAATACAGTATTGTTGTCCATAATAAGTATGCTGTGCATAGATCTCCAGGAATTATTTACTGCTTGCAGTTTCTTCCCTAAACAACATCTCCCCAATTCCCCCACCCTGCCCCCAGCATTTGGCTTTGTTGATCATCTCTACTGTATCTTTAGTTCAATTGCATTATTTTTTGCTTTTGTCCTATATTTGATTCCTTTTACATGCTCTGAGTTTATTCTTCTTTCTCATTTTAAGAATTGGAAAATTTGCTTATTGATTTTTTTAGGTTTTGTTATATTCTAATATAATATTATAAATCTAAAAAATTTTTCGAAATATTATTTTAGTTGTAGCCCACAAATGTACATATATACACTATTTTTATTGTTATTAGGAAGTGTGTTTTATAATTTCCAAAAACGTGGGCTTATTTAGTGATTGTTTATTGATTTCTACATAATTTGTATTAAAGTTAGAAGAGGAAGATATTAATGTTTAATATTCCTTTAAATTTGAATTTAAATTTTAAAAATTCTTCAATATTCATTTAAATGTTCTTTGTGACCTAATATGTAGTCAGGTTTTGTAAACCACGATTCCACACACTGTGGGGAAGGAAATGATGTTCTTCACCAGGTAAACTGAGGGCACTGGCTTCCAAGACCCACGTTATGGGCGACATTGTGTTTCTGCAAAATTCATATATTCAAGTCCTAACCCCCAGTATCTCAGAATGTAACTATATTTGGACATAGGGCCTTTAAAGACGTGATTAAGTTAAAATGAGACCATTAGGGTGGGCCCCAAGCCAATTTGACTGGTGTCCTTATAAGAAAATTAAATTTGGAGAAAAAACAGACGCCTTGAATTCATGTAAACAGAGGAAAGGCCATGTGAGGACACAGTGAGAGGCGGCCTTCTGAAAGCCAAAAGGCGAGGCCTCGGGAGAAACCAAACCTCCTGACCCTTTGATGTTGGCCTGCCAACCTCTAGACCAGTGAGAAATGAATTTCTCTCGGTTAGTCAGCAGACCTGTGGAATTTTGTTATGGCAGATTAACAAACTACTACAACCCATCTTAAGAACAAGACAGAGAGAACAGAGGGCCAGGCTGGATCCCAAAGACAAGGCTTGAAGAGGAGGATGCCCTCCCTCTTTGGAGGGCTGAGGAAGTAACCACAGGGACTGCCAGGGGTCTTCTCTCTGAAGGTGCCCTAAATAGGCTCACCAGCTGACAGTCCCCGTCAAGACACAGAAACAGGACAGCACAGGATGAAGAGAGAGAGCAGAGGCCTTGAAGTAGCCACAGGAGAGTCCTATCTGGGTGGATGCATGAATCCCAGAATGTCATAGCTGGGAGGGGCCTTAAAGGGGATCTGCCCAGGCCCCTCCTTTCACAGAGGATGAGGTTCCCTGGTGGGTGACCTTGTCCTGGGTCACACAGGGCAGAGGCAGACCTGGAGCCTGGGAATCCTCTCTTCCCACCCAGTGCTTCTCCCCTGCAAGGAGCTGCCCATCAGCTCTCCTACCCTTTCCCTGCCCTCCCCAGGGTTTCCTCCCTCCCAGCACTGTTGTCCGATCACCAGGATCTGAGCAGGTCCTGGAGTCTCATCCTTCAACTTCCCTCTTCTGGGAAAGGGGAAGCAAGTACTCAGAGGGATTAGAGGAGCAGGGACGTCTGGCTAGGGGAGGGTTAAACAGCAGCCCAGCCAGACTCCCCACTTTCTAGAGAGAAGGGAACCAGGGAGGGAGGAGGCTCAGCCCTCAGGCTGCGGGGGAGGATCCACCCCAGAACCTGGATGGTGAGCACCAGCTGTGAGGAAGATGGAAGATGATGCAGAGCAAGAGCTCTCTGCTATACAAAAGATCAAATTCTGAAGAAGAAGAAAATAAAGTCAGGGGAGAATGTGGTTGTAAGCAAAGTGAGTTAAACATATATTTAAATAATACAAAATTTAAAACTCTCATATATTTTGTCCATACATTAAAATTTTATCCATTTTTCTGACCCTTCCCCATCACCACACTGGGAAACCGACAGTAGTAGTTCCCTCTTAACTCATGGATCAAACCCAGCTCTATTTCTTTGCACTGTCTCCTCTGTCTCTGTCTGGAGCCCACAACGGCAGGGACACTTTCTTGTCCAGCCCCTGCCAGCAGACACAGGGACACATTCAGTAAATGCTGTTATTGCTGTGATGAGAGGGTCCCCACAAGAGAAGGACCACTCCTCACTGGCAGCTTCCTGCATCTCTGGAAATTGTAGTGTGAATTGAGCCCATTCAATTCCACCGTCCCTTCTGCCCTTCTCTTTCTGAAGAGATGTCCAGGAAAGGGTTAAGGATTTTAAGAAAGATAAGGACAAACACTTTAGTACCACCCACACCATCACTCCTTCACCCACTCCTCCCCAAAGTGTAGAGCAATTTAGAGGTGATATTCCTTCCAATGATCCCTCTTCCACTTCACTCAGGCTGCCCAAACTCAACTGAGAGGTGTCCATCTCATCCAGTAGTGAGGAGGTTGGGCCTAATGGCAGCCAATTCCACTCTTTCCCAGATCCTGTGTAACCTGGAGACAGTCACTTTCCTTCTCTGGACGCAGATTGCCTCATCTCTAAAGTGAGAAATTCTAACAGCTTTCTTTCTTTCTCTCTTTCCTTCTTTCTTCTTTCCTTCCTTCCTTTCCTTCTTTCCTTCTTTCCTTGAAATCTGCTTTGTGGCCTAGTTTGTAGCCAAGTTTTATCAATGTTCCATGTGTACTTGAAAATAATATGCATTCTCTAATAATTGAGTATCAAGTTTGGTATTTACTCATTCAATCAAATTATCAATTGTGTTGTTCAAATCTCTCTCCTTACTAATTCTTATCTGTATGCTTTATCAGTTATCAAGAAACTTGTATTAACATTGTCACCCAGGGAAGTCCCTAAAACATTTTCCATGTCTAATGCTTCATTTTAAGTTGCGCTTGCTTATAGAAACAAAGGCAGAACAATGTCAGGTGGCCAAACTGCAGAACCGGTCCGAACCAGAAAGGTCCAAAATGGCGTTGGGGCACTGTGCACAAAGGGAAATGTGTGCAAAAGGTGCTGTGTGCAAGAAGGGAAGATCTGTGCATGACGCAGAGTCCCCTGCCCCTTCACATCCCATGAAAACGCTGGTGCCCTCCCCTTCAGGGAACGGTGTTTTAAAGCACAAACTCTGCCTCTTCCATTCATTAATCAATGAATAAAGTTTCTGCTCTACTATTCTGAACCAGGTCTCATTCTATTGTCACAAGCAACCCAGGGCAAAAGGGCCCACATGTGCGTCACCAGTCCTTTGGGGCTCGGTAACAATATCTCCTACTGTGACAATTTGTCTTTTTCTCCATGCGATTCTGTCGATTTTGCATCATGTATAGTGAGGTTATGCTATTGAAAGCATTTTCATCTATTGCCAGTATATTTAGAATTGTTATATAACCCTCTGTCTCCATCATAATGTCTCTCATAAACACTGTATAGCTGGACTGAGTTTTCTACGCAATCTATGCGTGTCCGTGTCTAATTGCGAGGTGTTTCTCCATTTAAGGTACTGTGACTACTGATGTGTACGGCATCATTTCTATCAAATTATTGTATCCTTCTTTTTCTTTTGTTTTGTCTATGCTTCTCTTCTTATTTCATGTAATTAGGTGTAAATTTTTTGCTCCATTTTTTCCTCCACTTTTGTGGAAATTATACACTGTTTCTATTCAATTAAAGATTGGCTTAATTTTATTTATTTATTTATTTATTTATTTATTTATTTATTTATTTATTTATTTTGTGAAGAAGATCAGCCTTGAGCTAACATCC